CTCGTCCTTATCCAGATCCAGGCCGAACTTGCGATTGTACAGGCTCTTCGGGTTCTCCAGCTTGTCCTCGCAGAGACCCTCGCCCTCGTCCAGGTCCAAGCCGAGCTTGCGCTTGTGCAGGCCCTTCAGGTCCTCCAGCCTGTCCTTGCAGAGGCTCTCGTTCTCGTCCAGGTCCAGGCCGGCTTTGCGCTTTTGCAGGCCCTTCGGGTCCTCCAGTCTGCACCTCGCCCTGGCCTCTACTCCGCAGGCAAAGGCGCCCGACAGGCCGGGCGGGGGGGGCCCTGGACGGGGCACCCCTTCCCATCCCCCCCAAAGGGCACGCCGGAGTTCGGGGCCGACGTCTGGTCCCGCGGCAGCGGCCACTGCGGCTCCCCTCGAGCCAGAGCGGCTTGTGCCAAGGGGCTTGGGCCAAGGCTACGGGCACACATGCACACTTTTTCCGTTGGTGGCGGGCCAGAGGTAAACTGCACCAGCGGTCAAGCAAATCGGGGCGACCGAAGAGCTAATTGCCCAGCATGCAAGAGGAGAGACCGAGACAGACAGAGCGGCCGCGGAGGCGGGAGAGGAGCACTCAGAGGTGGAAGACTTCCATCCTGAGCGCTGGCGCGGCCAGCATCGGCAGCGGGGACCGTGGCAGCAGCCGGGCCACGGCGTCGGTGCATCCACGGGCGCTGCCGAGGCCCAGTACGCGGAAAGCAAGGGTACGTAAAGCTGCGCCGTCCAGGTGTGTACCGACTAGGTGCTGCAATTGAGGAAACGCACAGCGGAGCCGCCCAGGTGGGCCGACTAGGTACTGCAAGTGGCGCAAAGCAATCTAGGTTTCAGACGGCCACCGGCAAAATGCTGTGCCCGCTGGGTGTAGGGCGAGGTCTGCGACGAAGCGCAGAGCCCAGCAACATTACCACCAGGGGGTCGCTGCCAGCCACGGCTGCAGCGTCGGCGCCATGGCGGCGCGCGGAGTGAGGGGGGGAACGGCGCACGGGAGGGGAGGGAAGGACAGGAAGGAGGGGCGCCCCGCATGCGGAGAAGCCCCAGCAGGCGGGGCGACGGCACTAGGCGGCCCAGCGCCAGCGCTACGGCTGCCCTGCGAGCGGCCCTTGCGACGGTTTGGCGCGTCGCTCACCAGGCCTGGGACCAAACTGTCGCCAGGGCCTTAGCGGCAGAAGGAGACAAAACTGTGGCCGAAGGCCGTGGGGGGCAACGCGCTCGCTGTCTGGGATGACAGCACGTGGCCGAACTGGGGCACCTAATCGGCGCAGCTTCCTGTGTCAAAACTGGCCGAAGCCGTTGGCGGCCACGCGCTGTCTGGGTGGACAGCACGTGGCAGATCTAGGGGCACATAATCGGTGCAGTTACCTGTGAGAACAGAGGGGGGGTCCGGAGCGGGGGAGGGGAGGGAGCAGAGGGGGCAGCGCACCACCCAGGGAGGGCAGCGCGCGGCCGCGGAGCGCCACACGGGATGGGCACATACTCGGCGGTATTTGTTAGGGGCCGCTCACCTTCCGGGAAGGGCAGCGCGCGGCCACAAGACCTTCACGCATCGCCTGGACAGGGTGGCACGTAACGGGTCAGGGGGCTCGACCCCCGCGATGGGGACGTAGGTCGTCCAGGGAGGGGCGTTCGCTGAAACATGTTGCGGGCGCTCAGGCGCAGGTCCATGGAGTATGGAGTCTGCGCCTTGCCCTGGCAGGTTGGCTGCAGAAGGGAAACGGGTGTGTCCGTTGGTATGTCCAGGTGGCGCGTGCCAGCGCGCGGGCTGTCGCCAGACATGGCCGTGGTGTCTGGGGCTTTAGATGCCAGGTAGGCCAGACAGGTCGGGGCGGCGCGGCCTCAACTGGTCGTTGTTGGGCCAGGTGGGGTCGGCTTGCCTCTTGCCTTTCCCGGGCTGGTCGCTGCCCTTCCCTTTGCCACGCCCCTTGTCGCGCTGGTGTTCGTTGCGCTGGAGCTGGTGTCCCCAAACTGCCCACCAGCCTACCTGGATTCTCCTGGACCAGCAGACCCTGCGGTCGTCGTAGTGGAAGCTCCTCAACAAACGCCATGCAAAATTCGTCGTGCCCCTCGGGGTTGTACGAGCCTCTCCCTGTGCCTCTGCCGCCCGGTCGTCGCAGGGGGCGTTCCGTCCTTAGACGAAGAGAGCCCCACATTCCCGTTTTAGAGCCCCACATTCCCGTTTTAGCCGTTTGGCGAGCACACGCGTACACACATACACATACACACATGTTTCGCGTCGCGGCCACGCGCGCGGCGTTGCGGCGAAGTGGCACACACATGGACTGGCGGATTGTTGTTTTTGCCGAGATTGTGCGGCGATTGAGGTTGCGAGGTCTGGTTTTTCCAGGCAAATGGCGAGTGATTGCACTGTACCGTGTGCGTGTGGGTTTGCCCTTGTGGCATCTTGCATGTGGCCAGGCGGGACGCAGATCTGGATACAAACCATGAGGTTTGACATGTGTAAACGCGTTTTTGGGGAATTTGGTCCGGGGTACCCACATTTCCTGGA